AATTAAACCAATAAATTTTCCATTTGTTTCAGTTCAGGTTCAGCCATAACTAAATTTTTATGGTTCAATTTTGATTTGAGCCAGTATGTTCTGTGTCTTTGGTCTGAGCTCCGATACAGGAAGAATATTATCTTTCTACCTACCTATCTATCTATCTATCTATCTATCTATCTATCTATCTATCTATCTATCTATCACCTAGCATTTGATAAAAGAAAAGCAGTTAAACAATGCTATTGTTTTCTATTGTGAGAGTGGAAGAGGGGAATAATGAGAGAAGTAGAAACTTAAAGCAAGCACGTGGGCATGTGTGTGCATTTGTGTGTGTGTGTATGTGTGTGTGTGTGTGTGTGTGTGAGACAGCACAGTAACTAGAGAGCATAGTGGATAGAGAGATGACTTTGGAATCAAGAAGACCTGGGTTCAAGTCTTGTCTCTATTATGTACTGGCTATTGGGTCTGGGCGAGTCACTTAATTTCTCAGTGGTCAAGGCAATTCTCTAAAAATATAACTTGCAGAACTTTATTTATAAAGGAAGTTTCCTCAGCAGGTACTCCCTATATCAATGACATCAGAGGTTCAGTCTCTACACACACACACACACACACACACACACACACACACACACACACACGGATGAATATTTGTAAGGTTTAACAAAGCCTAAAAGTAGAATAGGAAACTGAGGACCAGTGGTGTTAGATGACTCTTTTAAGGTCTCACAGCTAGTTAGTGATAGAATAGGAACTAGAATCTAGGTCTCTTGACTTCCACTCTAGCTCTTTCTCACTCTACTATACCAAATTTCTTCCTGTCTATTTTCAATAGTTTAATTGTATTTAGTTGCTCTCATGGTGTTTTTACCTTAAAACAAAATGTATACTTCAGTACTTAAAGACGTAGTTTTTATCATCTTGGACATCTCCTTATATTTGTGAATGTTTTTCATGAGTTGTTTTTGCCCCCTAAAGATCATTACTTGACCAACCTACTATTGATAATTCTTTGTATGTACAAAGCTAAAATGGTCCTGATTAGTCTTCCTATAACAGGCTTGCATCCTTTCCAGATTAGTAGGATCTGCCAGAGCTTTTGTTCCATTAATGTAATCTTTGAAAACCACCAGTCACTTGCAAGCCATAAAATGACTTTGGAGTATGATTCTAGTGGGAAGAAGAAGGGAAAGGAATAAGCAAATATGTCATTTGCCCCCTGAAACAACTCTGTGAGACAAGTGATATTATCCTCATTTTACATTTGAGGAAACTGAGACAAACAGAGGTTAAGTGACTTGTTCAGAGTTACACAGCTAGTAAATGTCTGAGCCTGGATTTGATCTTAGGTCTTGCTGATTCCAGGTCCACCCCTCTATCTACTGCACCATCCGCAGTATGTAGGGGAAGAATCAGTGAACAAAATTTACTTTTCTCCAGCAATAACTTTAGTTGAAGTATTTTATCACTCCATAGTTCACACACAGAAGAATGGTTTCTAATCTTTTCTTGAATTGTACTATTCTATTTTTAGTTTTCTTTGTTACCCTTTCTCCTGATCAAAGTGCTAGTTGGAATAGGATAGGAACTGGACCCATTATTTCCTTGATATAGGGGAACTTAAGAGTTGCCTAGAACATTAAAAGGTTAAGTGACTTGACCAGGGTCACATAGCTAGTATGCGTCAGATGCGGAATTTGAATGCAAGGCTATACTTGAACCCAGGTCTTCTTGTTTTCAAGGCCAGCTCTCCATTCATTCACTACAGTCTTTATTGGTTGGCATATATGTTTATAAAGATATGTATATATCACACCCATATATGACACATTTATATATATGCATATTTAAATTTTTGATAGCTTTGTGGTACCCCTTGAGATCATTTGGGACACTCCCTCTTCCCATCCCCACCTATGCTTAAATTTCTAATAAAAATATATCTTTTTGATATAAATATTAACTGATGGCTTCTTATATTCTAAAAGTGTTTATATTTCATTAGCAAAGCGATATCACACAATCTGAATTTAGTATTAATAAACATATCACTAAGTAATTGTTAATTTAACATTCTCCAAAACAATAGTTCCCATGAAAGAAATGACAATACCACTCCTATTTTAAAGACTGAGCCCATTTGGTCACATAGTAAGTTGGATTGAGAATAGAATTTAGGATCTTAATTCTTGTATTTTATTATATTCTTGGCACATTTTATTTATCCAAATTGCCAAATTCCTTGGGTAATATTTACTATAGTAGGTACTGTAGAAATATATGGGCATTCTTCTAGATGGTCTTCATGTCTCCAGTTGTTAGCATTCTCTTCTTCAACTTATCTTGTATTTGCTTATCTGTTTATGTGTTGTATCCTCCAGTAGTTTTTGGTTTGTATATTCCTAGAATCCAGCAAATCTTTAATATAAATGCTTTTGAGTTAAAGTATTTTATTAAAATCATGTGGTACCATTTATTGACAGGTCATTGGTTCAAAACAAATCAAGGTGTATTTTCTTTTTTTAGTGAGGCAATTGGGGTTAAGTGACTTGCCCAGAGTCACACAGCTAAGAAGTATTACGTGGGGCCACATTTGAATTCAGGTCCTCCTGACTCTAAGGCCAGTGCTCTATACACTGTGCCACCCAGCTGCCACTTAGCTGCCTCCAGGGTATATTTTGATAAAAAGTTACAGTCATTTGAAACACTATAAGAAGTGAAGCAATGGTCAAAGATTTCCTAGCATTGAGAAAGTCTCCCCATAAAAACTGCTTAGAACAGCAGGAAGAACCCTCGATAGTGACCTCTGTGAGTACAACAGGTCTTAAAATTGTTTCTGAGTGCGTCTCACACACACACACACACACACACACACACACACACACACACACACAGAGTTTTAAACCTGCCACCAGGTTTAAAATGATTTAGAAAGCACTCTATAAGTTCACATCTGAAAGCGCTTCTCCCACCCCCTCCCCACAGAAGAAAAACAAAACAAACAAACTGACCAAATCCTGTCCTTCTGGAGATGGATACCTACAATTGCTACAACCCATGGTTTCTGATAAACCCAGAACTTGAGAAATATCTTCCCTAAAGTCAGTTTCCCAGTCATAAGTCTTTAGCAATACCCCTCTCCTCTTTTAGAGAAAAACGGTTCCCCTCAAATCCCAAGCTGCCATTTCCTCTGGTAGATTTCCTTACACTTGGCCTAGTCTATGCTCAATACCCCATCCCCAGGTGATTCAATAAATTCAAGGTAAGATGTAGAAGAGGGAAAGAAGAGCATTATATCTTGCAGGAACCAGTTTAGGTGATAGGATAATAGGATAATAGAATAATAGGATCTTAGATTTAAACTTATGATCTAATTTAGAGATGTAAGAGCTCTTTTAACCCTTCATTTTACAATTATGGAAACTAAGGCTAAGAAAGGTCAAGTGACTTGCCCAGGGTCAGATATACCTAACAAGTGTCTTAGGTAGGATTTGAACTCAAGTTTTCCAGACTCCAAGTACAGGACTTTTTTACTGCTATGTGGAAATGCTTTACAACTCTTCTATGTTCTGCTCTTCTTCCTTCAATAAATCAAACAAGCATTTATTATGTACCTACTATGTGCCAGGCACTGTGCTAAGTGTGAGACATACAGTGAAAGGCAAAAGACAAGACCTTGTTCTCAAGGTGCTCAGTTTAATGGGGGAGACGACATGAAAACACTCATGTTCAAAGAGGATATACTAGTATACAACTTCACATATGTGAATACATACATATGTGCATACCACCATACATATGTATAGGCACAGTGCATATCTTCACTCATAGTATATGTGTGTATTTACATATTCACAATATGCATGTATCTTCACACATGTGTATAGATCTTCACATATATGTTCTTGTGTAGATAGATGATATCTAGCCAGTCAGCTAAATATAAAGAATAAATTGGAAATAATCAACAAAGGGAAAGCACTACAAGGAGGATGTAGGAAATGCTTTCTGTGGAAGGTAGGATTTTAGCCGGGATTTGAAGGAAGCTAGGGAAGCCAGGAGGCGGAGATAGAGGAAGGAGAGTTCCTTTAAAAAATATGCAATAATAACTCTAGTTCCTTTTTTTCTCCTAAATGGTCTCATTCATCGCTCCACACCCCGCCTATCCTTTTGCGGAGAAGGAAGCATAAGAAGAGAGAGAACTTTTTTTTAATCATCTCTTCTTTTCAGGAGGGGGGAAGATAAAGGTTCCAGACACCGCGGCTCTGCCCTCTTTTCCTTGGCTAGCTGGCCGGCGGCTAGCACCCGAGAGCAGAAGCGAGCTCAGTCTGGCCAGTGGGCTCCAGCCTCGGGGGAGGGGCGGCCCCGGGGCGTTGGCACCGCCCCTTTCGGCGGTGACGGGTGACGTCACGCGGTCGTATGGCAGGAGTGGGGGCTGTCGGGGCGGCGCTGGGGAGGGCCTGCGACGCGGGGTTGGGCAGGAGCCGGAGAGGGAGGTGAGAAGGGAGCAGGAGGAGGCGGGGCGCACCGGGTTCTCTGCAGCGCGAGCAGACGCTTTCGGTTAGTGCGCGAAGCGACCGAGGGGAAGCCGGGAGAGGTTCCGCGCAACGCTGAACTGGGCGGCAGATAACCGGAGGAGGGGGAAGAGGAGGGAGGAAGAGAAGGCGAAGAAGCCGGAGCCGAGCGCGCAGCCTCTAGCTGGGGGCGGGGTGGGAACAAAAAGGCCTGAGAGGTCCGCGCCGCCGTTCCGGCTCCAGCCGCAGCGCCGGGGCTGGAGGGATCCCGAGCTCGCTGAGGGGCGCGCAGGCCCCCTGCCCCTGGCCCTGGCCGGCTGACCGCCAGCCAGCGGCTGGCTCTCTCGGCCGGGCCGTCCTCGTCCCCCTCCACCCGCTCTCCATCCTCTCCCCCCCTCCCCTCCCGGACCCAGCTCCTCCCCCGCGCCCCCAGCGCGCGCTAGCCGTCTCGGGGCTGCGCGAGCCGCCGTCCGAGGCTGTGGCTGCGGCGGCGGCTGCGGCGACGACAACAACGAAGACGACGACGCGGGGAGAAGGGGAGTCGGCGGGCGCCGGAACGGTGGCCCGGGCCGGGCGGTCCCGGTGATGGCGGTGCTGGACCTGGCCCAAGAGGGAATGGCCGTTTTTGGGTTCACCCTCTTCGTCGTGCTGTGGCTCATGCATTTCATGTCCATTATCTACACGTGAGTCGAGGCTACCGACGAGAGGTGGGGGGTGGGGAGGGAGGGTCGCCGGGGACTGTGACAGAGGCCTGGATTCAGCCTGTGATACGGTAGAGGTGGGGAGGGGGCGGGGAGGTGCGGCTTGCCCTAGAGACCCTCAGCAGAGGGTACCCAGAGGGAAGGACTGCCGTATGGGGGCTCTTGGGCATGGGGAGCTGTTGGCTCTGCGGCCCACTGGGTGGCACTGATTGGGGGTACTCCCCTAAAGGGGCCAGAGAATGGAGAAGGTTGTTTTGAGAAGCAGCGGGAACTATGGGGGAAATAGTGAGTGGGGGTGGGGAAGTAGATTGAGGTTTTATTTATTTAATTTTTGGGGTGTGTGTGTGTATGTAAGAATGATTAGTGGGGTAAGGAGGTTTGTCTTTGTATGGATGCTGGACTGCAACTGCAGTGGAGTGCAGAGCAGAAGGGTTCCTGCTAACCATGGCTGGGGAAGTCCAAGGGTGACTGCCATTAGGGATAAGGAAAGGGAGAATGTGGCTTGCTTTATTATGTAGGTGGCTCTCAGAATCATCTAGGATCAACTGTGAGTTAGGGATTGGGCGCTCTTTGGAACAACGGTTATTGTATGGTGGATTTTTTTTCACTTGTCATTGTTCACATTTCTTTTGAGGGGATGATCATTTCCTCTGGGAGTTGCATACAGCCACCTGCTGGTCACCCTATTGATTTCTCTCTTCCTGGAAGAGTGATCTGTTTACCCAGGCGTAGCTCCTGTCTACCTCGAAAAATGCCCAACACAGGTCTTCTGAGCTGTCTAGGATATGTCAAGTCAACTGATGTTTTCTTCTTTTTCTTGAGTCCAGTTGAGCCAATGTGGAAGTAATTTAAAACCCTGATGAGAATTATTCTTTTCTCAAAAATCAAACCTCTCCTCTCCTCTTAAAAAGTAGACTTAGTTTAGAGAGATTGAAATATTTTATAGTTGTTGTCTTATTATAAGGATAGGAAATATGAGCAAAATTTTGTGTCTAATTTGGAAGTCTTGTTTTCATCTTTCTCTATAGTTGTTGTTCAATCCTTTCAGTCATGTCCAACTATTCATGACCCCTTCTGGGGTTTTCTTGGCAAAGGTTCTGGAGTGGTTTCCTGTTTCCTTCTCCAGCTCATTTTACAGATCAGGAGACTGAGGCAAACAGGGTTAAGTGACTTGCTTAGGGTCACACAGCTAGTAAATGTCTAAGGCTGATTGGATTTGAAAAAATGAGTTTTCCTGACCCCAGGCAGGGCACTCTATCCACTGTGCCACTTATCTTATATATAGTAACATACAGTTCTGTGGAGAAAAGAAAAATGCTTAAGGATTTTTTAAAAAACCAATTCATCCTTTCTGTAGAGGAAAAAAACCCCCACTTTCTACTAGGTGCCTAGGACTGCCACCACAATCCTGTGTTGTTACTAGTAGTTACTGCCGTCTACCCATGCTTAGATAAGAAAAAAGCTTATTCAATTTCAGGTTTTTCTATTACTTTTTGCCCCACTCCAATAAAATCAGACTTGTCCCCTGACCATTTTTAGTGTATTACTATATTTGTTAGTACTAAGGAAAGGTGCTACAATTCCTGATACTTTCTAAAACATAAAGGAACATATTCCAAACTAGTAGCGGTGGTGATTTTCCTGGATCAGTGAAGGAACTTGAGGGTCAGTCTTCTAGGTTTTTGAGTCAGTGGTTAGTTGAATTGCAGTAATATGAATTTAGTTGTTCCTTGACAAATAAACTTAAAAGTAGAATTGCTAACAAATCGTAGCTCAGTTCTGTTAATAATAATAACAATGTATGAATTGTGTCCTAATTTTTCCACATAAAGGCATTTTATTTTTTTTATGAGCCTTAAAACTGTGAGTTTAAACACTGACAGGATTAAAATTGATATAGCTGTGGTTTTAAGTATTATCAAATCGCATTTGCTTAACAATTCCCCATTAGACTACATCAAACAAGCTAGTGTTTGTTAAATACCTACTAAGTGCCAAGTATTGTGCTAGATATACAAAGGAAAAAAATGAAAGTCTTTGTTCTCAAGGAGCTTACCGTCTAACAGGAGAAATATGTACAGAAATAGGTATATACTAGAAATGCTTTTTTAAATTTTGAAAAAAAAGTACTTAACTGAGAAACTTTAAAATAGATTCTCCTTCCCCATTAAGTTTATGAATTTGGCTTTTTGTACTGGTATACTTGTATATATGATAGGTATGTTTTTGAAAAGTTATATTTCTAATACTGAATCAATTTATATTTAGAAACATAATGGGAAATTGAGAAATCATCATGAATACTTTTTTTTTCGGGGGGGGGAAAGAATTCTTTTGTAAAACAAATAACCACTACCTAAATTTAAGCTTTGTTTAAATTTTGTTTTATATGAACTTAAAATACAAGGGCAATATTTTACCCTGGCTTCACTTTTGTGTTTGTGATTCCTCTTTCACTGAAATACACAGTTCTTGCATGTTTGAGATATGCACTTAAACTGGGAGCTTCTCTTCCTTTTTTTTTAAACTGTAGTTGATGTTTAAATGGTTTTATTTGTCAGAATTTTCACAAGGAAGGATATGTATAAAAATATAGTTAAAGCAATTGCAGATAATTTAAATTAAAGTTTTATATTAAAACAGTATACTAATTTGTAATGACGTGATTTCTTATTTAATAATGAAGTGTCATTTCTTATGGTGTAGTCTAGAGCTCTGGACTGGGACTCAAAAGCCTTCCTTTTTCTTCCTCTTTGCAATCTTCACTCTACCTCTTACCAACTCTGTAGCCTGGGCAAGATCTGAAGCTTTTTTTTTTTTAAATTGATAAGATCCAAGGATTGGACAAAATGCTTTCTAAGTCCTTTGTATTTCTAATATTTTCTTAATCTTTGAATATGCTGCTTTACATTCATAATGTTAGAGCGTTTCATTTGTTATCTGATTTTTACCTTGTTTGTATTTTTAAACTTTGTAATTAGCTTAAATGTAATAAACCAAAAGCATATGTTCACTGAAAGTTAATATTGGTGGGACTGACAAAATTAAGATCTGTTCTTTGAGAAAAAAATTTTAATCTCTATTCAAATGTATGACTTTCCATATTCTATAACATAAATGACATTTTCTGATTACCCAGTTTTAGAATTCTTTTTAATATTTTGAGGGTGAAAAGTTCAAAAACTGCATAAAATTGTGAAAAGATTAAGGATTTCTTCCCTTTAAAACAACTAATCACTTTTCATTAATAAATTTTAAAGAAGGAGTTTGTAATGACTCAGTAATTTAAGTAACTTTGCTAAAATCTTTTAGATACAGACAGAAAAATAGAGGCTGAAATTTTGTCTATAATATGAGAAAAAGAGATGATTTAGATCATTATGGCCCACAAAACCATGTCTTTTTTTCTTCTGATATTTGGTACAATATTTGTGATCTGATAAAACATTGACAAAATGTTAGCACACTTATAGGGCTATATAAAATGCTCCCACCTTTCTTCCTAATTTTTTTTTAGCATGCTAACTTATAGGCTAGTTTGAATGCATGTCCTCCCTCTGATTTTATCAGAAAGTTAAAGAGAAATACTAATAAATGTTTTTATGTGGTGGTTATTAGTGTTACTGTTGAAAAAGTTTTCTCAATAATTGTTGCAACCTTAACAGTTGTGACTTTGGCTGTGCCTTTGGGAGGTTCTACTAAGCTGGAAAGGTTTTGAATGTTATCTTGGAAATAGATGGTGTCTCTAATTCTAAAGCCTGGCTGAGCTTATCACAAGTATATTTGCCAGTAGGTGATGGATTAATTCTTTGACCATCATGAACTGTGGAAAAAATTAAACTTAAAATGATCCTCAGTATTCTGTGGCCCTTTTACAGTTCTTCAATGATAGTTGCACGATCATAAAAAGAGGGGGGAGGAAAGAAACTAAGAATTACATTGTTTTTAGATTGCTTAAAAATATTAACTTAATGGTATATGTGAAATTTGTTCAATGACCTCTAAGCTGAAATGTTACTGAGGAACTGACCCAAATCTGTAGAAATGCTTCATAGGTACATAACCGGAAGACATGGTGAAGTTGCAGCTAAATGTAAGGATGACCTGCAGGAAAGAAGTTGGTACAGTTGTTTTTCTCATACACCCAGAGGCCACAGAAAATAGTTTATGGAACACTTGGTCATTTCCCTTGGCAGTCAGTGCTCATGATGCAAGTAAGCAAACAGAGCAATGTGAAGGTAACTACAGTTAATGCCAACAGCTATTTCAGAACCTCATTTGTAAAACATTTATGGGGGAGGTGAAAGATTATGAGTAGTTTCATCTCAGAAAAGATAGAAAAACTGTGGATAGGAAAGTGAATCTATAGAAATCTTGGCATTAGAGTCTTTGGCTTACCCTGAAAGACTTTTTAGATGAAAATGGAAGGAGGACAAGAAGAAGTAAAATTCTATGTAGAACCTGACACAATCCTTCAAACCAAATCAACATATGCCTTGATACTTGATAACTTTAATGTGCCAGCTGTGCACATAGGACGATAGTGAAAAATATCTGAGAAAACAAAGTGTAAAATTAAGAAAGGAAACTGTATATCATGAACATTCTAAGAAAGTTGGAAAATATTGGATGTTGTGGGAACTGAATAACATTGACAAAAATATAATTGACTTTATTTTTGATCAGAAATAACTTTACCTTGGTGTTTATCATTTCAGAATCTCCTTTTTGTGTGCAGTTAGGTAGGTTTAGAAAAAAGGTAAAAATCAACTCTAAATTAAAATAAAGGATAAGGGCACTGTGTATTATCATAGTAGTGCCAGCCTGACCTATTTAAACAAACTGTTGCTGTCCTGGTACCTGGAATGTATTCCCTTCTCATCTATACTTCATAGAATCTTTCACTTCTTTAAAAATTCAGCTGAATCATCCTTTCACACACAGCCTTTACTAATTTTGCCTTCAACTCCTAGTGTCCTCCT